ATGACAGATAGAGATGCAGGTAACTTTGTAAGTTTATGCGAAATGAGACGTTTTCTCTGAAGTAGCTCTACGCACAAACTATTTCCGCTTTTTTATCTTGCACATCTAAACGAAATCTGAAGAAGTATCTCTAAAGCCTATTTGTTCGTCTCGCCGCACTGTCACAATGGATCACAACATAAAAATGAAACCTGTTACAACTTTAGATTCCGTGTCTATTTAAAGAATCAAAGCGCGCAGAACCTTACAGATAAAAAGAGGACATTTTAGAACCAAACTGTCTTCCGGCTAAAACTAATGATCAGACGATTTTTACTACACCGTATCATATATAATGAAAAACCGGAAAATAAAATTCGAAACTGAGATCTACTGTTTAGTTATGGAAACTGGCTTACTTTATCAGAGGCTGGTTACTTGGGGGCGGGTTTGAAACCGGTGACGCCGTAAAATGTACAACAGCATCAAAACGATTTGTGTTTCGAGCTACTCTAGTCAATCGCAGCAGTACGTTGAAGCACGGTTGCAGTGGTTAACTAGCAGCTCCTTTGCCATTCAGTCGGTGTGAATTTGATCCAGAGGCCTACACATTCCGGATCGTTTGATAGATTCCCTGCATAATTGTTGTATCAGGCAGAACTCAACGACTCACTCAGGAATCGCTATATTCGCATTTTGTGAACCATCCGGCCGAGGTTTCGGGCCTCATTCACCTTTAACCTAAATATATTTAGCGCATGATTAATCGGACTCTTTACGCTGATATATGCTCCTGCTTCTCCAGATTTGCGTAGATGATCGAATAACATAACAATCTGCCAATTCAGAGGTGGTACTGATTTCAGACGCCGCTCACACACGCGTGTGGACATTGACAGCTCACGTCTGGAGAAGTGGAGAGAAGAATCTCACAAGGTTCCAATAGGATAGTTGTAGTACTGGTTCGAGCTACAGGAGGACAGTTCACTCGAAATGGTGTGGCTTTTGATGATTAAAAAATTCGGAACTCGATGTCCTGAGATGGCAGACAGAAGCCACCTGAACAACCCCGAATGAACCATGAACACAGAACCGAGTTGTGCCAGCCTGATGGTAGAAGCGGAACAAACTAAATGAACGTACTAAGTGAAATGATGCACAGGAACCTCTAACTGATCTCGATAACACCTAAAGACCCCGCTTTCCATGGAAGACAGCAATGTATTATCCTGGTTTCTCGTAGACAAAAACTAAATTTTTAGGGCACAAATGGCTGAATGTACCAAAGGTGCTTCCAAAGTAGAGAAAGAAACTTTGTTCGCACCCAATGTTTTGAAGAACGAGTCGCAACTACTCATAAGTAGTATGATGAAGCGTACTATTGTTTTTGGTTGACCTTTATTCAGATTTCGTCTCCACACAAGACCCTCAATTTAGTCAGTGAGCCGTAAATAGGAAAAGTACTAGATTGGAACTCTGCTCTCATTGGTAACGCACTTGCATTAGCCCAAACCGGGGTCGCAAACCTGGTGCAAAAAAAGAAATAACTCTTATTGCAAATAGCAAATGTGCAGTCTCAAGAGAGAATGGTTTAGAGCTATGATCGTCTTCCATAAATTCACCTGTGAGACATTTTACCTGTCGAAGCTGCCAAAATCGTAGGATTATATTACGGCCTGTGTCTAAACAATCAGGTTAACGCTACAAAATAAGACATCAATGATTCATGAACAATTCTAATAACAGAGAAATTTGGTTCCTTTCATGAGACTATTAATAACACACTGAGTAGCACTGTCTCTGGTGGATATTATATGAGTTTCCTCGAGTGCAGTGAAAAAGATAATCTTACTCCCATTATCTCCCACGTTGTGTTAAATTGAATAAAAATTATAAATAACATTCTCCTAAAACAATATGTCTAGCTGAAAATGTTCAACGACCAAAAGCGTCCTTCACAATCAAATGGCAAATACAGAGATTGATAAAAAGATAGATACGATGGAAAAGATGACCACGTTCGACAAATAGTACTGTATTTGGAATAGAACGCTAGTTGTGCTGCTACAGAGCTGCTGTTTGTGTGAACAGCACAAAGCGACACCTAGACGGAGAAGGATCGGGGAGTAACAAGCCCCATCATGTGTGACATGCACAGCCATCCACACCATTCACAACAAGAGGATCGAACAGAAGAGTGAAGACAAAGTGGGGGGATGGTAAGAAACAGAAAACGCGATCCACATCTTGTCGCAAATAAAGCTGTGAATATGATCATCGAAAATTGCACAGAGAACGGGGTGGACGCGAGTGTATGAACGAAGAGAAACAGTTATCAAATGGACTCTTGTGCGACAGAAAACGCACGTTCGGATTTAAATGGTAGGAGGAGAGTAGCAGAAATAATAATACACAAAAAGTAAAAGGGAACATGTCTGGCTGCCGTACCAGCGGATTGCCGAAGAGGCAAGAATTTCGTGGGACTTGTCAAGTTACTTGGCCCAGTCCATTCTGCTGACAGTTAGACGTCGGAAACTTATGTATATGCAGGATCGAAAATACGGAAAAGGACCACAACAATTTATGTAGGTGTACAATGACTGATACCGAATCAGCTGCATGGAAGAACCACAGAGAAATATAGCTAGATTGGTATGTATAGTACAGGTGGTGGGTTGAGATTGGACAGTTGTGCGGACCAGATATTTACAAGGAGAGAGGAAGGTTGGCAAGATTTNGCAAGATTTGAAGTAAAAAAAGGTGGTAGTAACTAATAATGCGATTCGAATTAAGGAGAACAAGCATCGAATGCTTCCAATTCTTTCAATATTTTACGACGTTCTTTGAGTGCTTTCCAGGCCATATCACGATCCCGTTTGAGAGGCGGCTTGCGCAACGGTCGGTAGCTTTCTAACTTGTTATACGCTTCGATAACCTGTGCGGAAATTGAATGAAATGCAAATTTCAATATCGG